GTGTAATTCAAAGCATGCAGAGCACGCTGGGCCACAAACGGAGAATTTGCGGTTTGGCAGGTGGCCTTCGCGGCCAAGGGAGGCTGGAATTCTTTGCGTCGGCTTTCGGGAAGAAAGTCCCATCGTCAAGGGGTTAAGGACATGTTTGATGTTTTTCCAGATCTTCACTTTTGATGGTGCAGGTGTCTCTGGCCACAAGAACCATATATCATGCTACACAGCTGTCAGGTACAGTATGTCTTTTGCGCTGAGTGTCTTTAAATAAAGAGAAGCAGTGTGCATATATGTAGTTTGTTTATTTATTTGTTTGTTTATTTATTTATTTTAGATTTGTCACTCTCGTGGCCAAAGGCCAAATTACAGTGAAAATACAACAGTAAAAAAAATTCTGAGGTTTTCATTAATAAAAGCATCCAACACGTTACAATTATAGTCCATCAATACTATCTTAATTAACAGGTAAAATGGACATACAGATATTCCAAATTCCTAAAAAGCACACAAATTTCCCATTTCAGCTTTTCAAACAACTTACTGGTTGTAGTGAGGTTCGTTTGAAGTGTTTATTTCTGTTACCTCTGTGAGATTCTAAACCTGCATCTTGTCGTGTATCCAGCCCTGAACAATGCTAGTTTTAGAACTGTTCGAAAAAATATCTGTTCGAGTTTCCAAAGTTTCAAACGTGCCACACCCGTTGTTTGGATTGAAGAGAAGCTAATTTTTTTGTTGTTGTTACAGAACCCTCATGGAGTCTCATAAGCTACCCAAAGGTGAGCTAATGTTATTCAACAGAATGCCATATTATGCCTCATCCTAGCCATCGGGTTTACTTAGCTTCAGCTAGAAGTTACATTTTCTATGGGAGATACATGAAGCTGTATTCTCTAGCACAAATTTTTGATTTGTGTCTCATCCACCAAAACTGTCCTCGTGAACACCTCCCCTCTCCAAGCACCCTTAACATCGGAGTTGCATGTTGCTTGTGGTTTGTCTCATAGCACATCTACATGTCTTCTCCCAAAATTCATGCTGGATCCTTTTATTAAAAATAAGTGGAGTTGTGGCAAGTGATTGAATTTTGTTTGTTCCGTAAATGACTCCACAAAAGAAAAAAGTGAGATGAGCCATTGAGGATGTGTACCACTAATTTTTGGTCCTCAGGAGGCATGCATGTCTCCTTCCATAAGCTGCTGTTGATTAACGGGTCACTTTAGTAATCTCTTCCTAGGCACCAAGTACCAAGATGTATTCCCTCTAGTGTCCCCTTAGGTCCCAGGAAGTACCTGTTTTTCCTTCATCTTTCTCTCCTTACGCTGCTATCGATAAGTCCCTTATCATCTTGCTGTTTTAGGCATCAAGTTGTACTTCCTTCAGAGTGTCTCCATCCTCAGGAAGTACCTGTCTTTCCTTGATCTACCCTTCAGCATGCTGCTTCAGAGGCACATGTTCCTGGCTGGACCGAGAGATATTTGGACGGCTCAGGTCAGTATAATGCAATCGCCCTCGATCATCTCCTACCATCTCCTTCCCCCCTGCTTTCTGAGCTTAAAGTTGGACTTTCAAAGAATTGTTGAATATTTTAATATTTCTGGATTATGCAGCCCAAGAGCTTTCCATTGGTATACATGTATAACATGTGGGGCACCCACAGTTGTGAATCCCCGTTGTATTAGCATCAGTAAACAGATCTGTAATTGGACAAAGACAGTTGGTAAAAAGTAGTGTGAGGCCCCCTTCAAATGTGGGTTTGCAAAATGACAATTTCCAACTCATAAAGCTGCATTATCTGTAGTCAGCGTTATAATGATCTGTAATTATCGGACAAGATCTCAGGAATCATTGAGCAATATTTCAGCCAAAATTTTAAGAGCAGACTTTCCCATTTGTTCATTTTGGAGTGTCCAAATTTTGGAAAGTAACATCACCAAAAGACAGTTTGTCTTATGATTGAGGAAAACTGCTTCATAAAGCAAAAATGGAAAACAAGAAGACAAAGACTTTTGATTGATGGCATATGTAGTCTGAGCTTTCTCTATGTGTGAGATTGTTGATGTTTAAACCTGATTGCTTCACAGTACACTTCTTTTCAAGCAAGTCGGCAGTTGTAAAAGATGTTTGTCATCAATGTCAAAAAATGACATTTTTTTTTTAAATTCTACCATTTTTACTCGTCTACTTGCCACTCCAACTCCTCATGGATTACAATCAACACCTCACTGTCAACCTTTCTTGTTTGTTTCAGCAAGCAATGCGAGCCCATGCTAGCCAGTTTGTGTGGTTCCGTGTTCTCTACGTCGTCTTCTCTCGCTTCATGATGATCAATGGATATCACAAGAAGAGTGTGCATTAGTGGCTGGAATATTCACATTGGCAAAACCGTGTCCGCAGAGCTGGAAACTTGTGTGAAACATGTTCAGTACTTAATAGATTAACAGTGTCTTAGGGGTGCTTTCGGAATACAATATTCCAACCCTTCCCCTCTGAAACCATCCAAATCTAGCACCTTGGACCAATTTCATAGAACTGATTAGCACAGAATGTTGCTAAGCCTGGTTTGTACTTTCATTAACTTTCACCTCTGTGACCAGGGTTTGATTCCTACCCAGGCTACCAATACGGTTTTTGTAGTCCCTGACTGAGGTTTCCTCAGAATATATTTTCCTGAGGTTTCCTTTGACCTCTAAAGCAACATTTCTTCATCGTCTTCTCTCTGCCGGTCAGTTAGTACTTTTAAGCTTACTGTGCTATTAATAATAGACCTATAGCCGTGTTTCCATTAAGACTTTTTGGAAAACTTACCACAACTTTCCTGTAGAATATAAAATTAAATCTAATGGGAACATTGGGTAAACTAACGTCCCTGTCAACTTACCGTGATCGCGATGTAAAACTAACAGGCCAAAAAGGGTCGCGGAAGATTTCTGCGCAGCCACAGTTAGTTAGCATGGGTGCAAAAAAGTCCAATGGAAACAGTTCCCATACAATGTACATGCAGATTGACTGCAACCACGCTGAACATACCAACCAGACTACTGCCTACATAGAGATTGATAGCAGGTACGTGAAAATGGTTGCAGATTTGGCAGCATTCGCCTGATTTTGTCATTGTTTTGTCAGATTTTGCCGACTTGGTCATGATTTGTAAAGCGCAGGCAATGTAATCAGCTGGTCTTATTATTAGGTCTAACACGGCGAATAAACATTCCGTCACGGTTAAAAAATGTCCACGTGGGAATGCGTGGTAGATTGACATGAAGGAATGTCGCAGCAAGTTTCCGCATGCCCGCCGAAGAAAACGTCCAATGAGAACACAGCATAAGACATAATGATGTCACACTCTGTTTACTTGTATGCTTTCCAATGGCAGTGAGATGGGACTCAATACGCAGAGCCCCGCATTGAAAAGTGTACACAAAAATAAAATTATGTTTAAGGTCCATTCAGTTTCATTACCAGGGACGGAACAGCAAAATTAGACTGGCTCTCTGGTCTCTTTTGCTCAGCGCAGAAATCTGCCAATTTGTCAAGCGACATTTTGTGCTTGGTGGCTCTGTGCAATTGGGCCCAGCATTTCTCTGCTACATTTGGGTGGATTTGGGAATGCCCACCTAAGCCACTTTTATTGTGCATTTAACAATTCACTGCTCTGACATGGGACATGATGTTTTTAACACCCAAGGGACTGAGAGCACCAAGGCAAAATCGAGGGAGCTGTACGTCACCAATGGTGTTAAAACATCACATACCATATCACACCTGTAAATAATTGTTTTATCATACCTCTGTGTTGAATTCTTTGAAATGCTCAAATTTTTGATCTCAAATTCAATTGAAATGAGTAATTCAGTCCGTTGCTGCACAGAAAGTTGTACAACAGGTGCAGACTAGTTGCTTCACTGATTAGTTCAGTTGTGTTGGTCACACGTCTTGCTTTAATTGCAATATATTTATATCTTGAAAACCATTATGGGAGGAAAATCTGCATATGCCCTGAAGCTTGTGCAAACAACCTTCAAACAATCGTTAACCTTTGACAAAAACTTTCACTGTTCCGACAACTGATCGCATTGCATACCAGTTTACTGCTCCTTCAAGAGTTTACTATTACTACCTGTGTAGTCACCAGTGAAAGTAACAGAGGTACCAAGGAATAGGCGTCCCTGTTCAACGTCCCCAGATTATGGTTTTAACTGTGTGTGTGGGGGGGGAGGACTAGTCTCTGATGTCACTATTGTACATCACCGATGTGTGATTTGTGACAGTGAGGGTGACATGCATTTTTATTGCCCAGTCACGATTGCCCTGGACCAGTGAAAATGTAGTATTCAAGACAGAGTTATAACAATGGCTTTTAAAGCCCATAAACACATAAGATGTGACATTTAGTAGATTGACCATTCCAAGCAAAATGCCTCCAAGTTATATGTTTTTTGTTGGCCAAAATGGATGAATTATTGACATCTTTCAGCAAAATACTCCAGTAAATGTAGCTGTATTTTTGCTCTTAGGTGGGCACAAGAAAACTAATGTAAAGTTTGTTTGAATAGCTTTGATAAATGTAGACTGAGATGTATACCATTCACTCCAAGTGTTGCTTTGCCAATGGAATGCTGTTTATTTTTTTGTCTGTTTGTCGGATGTAGCTTAATGGTGCCATTTAGTGGGATTCATTTATTAGCCTCATTTTCTTGCTGTGGCATTTTATTAAGTAACATTTATATGTAAATTTTCTGCCACAAAGGGGGACTTTTCTAATTATGTTTGTGTGTCTCATAGTTTATTTTGAAATACAATTTACAATCACATATGTCATAAATGATATTTTTTCCTGTGGTTTGGTGCTGACTTTTAAGTTGATTGATTCAGTTGTTAAGACAGTGTAGTTGATTTTGTCTTCACGTTAAAGAGTGTAGGGAGTTGCATGGATGTGTTTAAATATGCAGAATATGAACTCTTTTTCAAAACTCGGCTTTATCTTTGACTTGTATTCATCTCTGGCTCCAGTTCCTAAATTGTTACACAATGTCTACAGTCTTTGGTTTCATGTCAACATGCTCCTACAGCAGGGAGTTCACCCCTATTGTACTGGACCTTTCAAAGATAAGGAATCGGGTTTCAAGAATCGAACGCCAGAGACTGAAATCAAGCTGAGGTTTGATTAATTGTCCCTGAAGGTTAAGTGTACATGTATTCTATATTTTCCTTGCTGTGTGGATTGATATTATGCAATTTCTGCAGATGTGCTCGATCCATCTTCCGTATGCAGACCTGATTTTCTGCAAATCAAAATGCAGCCATACTGGTATAAAAATCAGTACCACAAGCAAGACTCAAAATGTGCAGAAGACTAATAAGATGGCTCACTCAGGAGTCTTGATCTCTTCGTGGTCCCAAAGGGTGGCTTCGGACAGTGAAGGTTACGGAATACCTCAGATTGGACAAGAAGCCTGACTGCTGTATCAGTTTGAAATGAGCAGCCAGCCTGGCTCTTACTAGCTTAGCTGTGTACACTTACAATTTACACTTCCTGAAGCAATGAAACCATAATCTGCTCCGAGCAGGAACAAAAGAGGGTGTTTTTAAATGAAATTGACAGTCCTTTGGTATGAACCTACTGAATAGGCAAGCAAGTTTATGCATATTCGACACGAAGCATGTCGAGTACGAGCAACAAATTTATTCTAGAATGTACGGTCTTCACGTGCATTCCGAAACACGTGCAAGAACCCAGTTGGAAAACTTTGTATCAGTCTGTCTTTCTTTCGTTGGTGAGGGTGCACTTCAGCTCGGGGCAGATAGTTCCATGGTGCATGATTTAACGTCTTACAAACATCACATTGCTAGAGGAGGGATATGGCCAGAACAAAATATGGGCGATTCACAACAGCGTGTCTCCAAGAGTTCGCAACGGTCCTGGCCAATCACAATACGCGAATTCTGTCCACCCATGCGCATTTGGAAAGGGTTGGCAGATTTTGCGCATTGTGATTGGCCAACATATTGCAAAGTCTTGGAGGCACGCTGTTGTGAATCACCCATATTGTGTACATATTTAAGTTAGTGTGTTCAAGCTTTACAGTGCTTATTATTCAGACCCTCTGCATTTTACATTCTCTAAGTGTTTCCTGCTCAGAATACTTCAAGTAGTATCTTTCCCCAGAAAGTTCACTGTATTGTCAGGGCTGTGAGGATTTGCGTTATATAGACTAGACACCAGCAGGTATTAGGATTATTGTTTTTGTTCAGTCAAATAAAAGAGAGGGTGCCCAGTTATCCCATTAATTAAAAGTCTTAGCTCAGGGTCTCCTAGCACAGATAGCACATATGGGTACTGAGGTACTAGAAAGACTGGTACCAGCACTTGTCTTTCATTGGTTGGCTGTTTTGCATGCTTTTTGAAAACTTTGAAATGAAACTCACATCACTGATACTGGAATATTGCATCCGTTTAATACTTGTCTTACAGGTATAGTAGTAATATATGTTTTGAACAAAAATTAGGTGGTTTTTAGTTATCATTCCATTAAATAATATTAAGAAAAATATTTTTGTATTTTTGCGAAGAAATGCTTGATAAGGCAGACATAGATGCAATAAAAGCAAACTTGCCAACAGTGCTAAAAATTGTCTTTTTCTGCCATACTCTTTGACAGTGTGAATATCAAAATTATACAAGCACTTTCTATAAGGAGTGAAAATCCCTCAACCATGGAAACAAACATTAAAAATTCACATTTAAGTGCCACAAATCTTCTATATTATAAAGACGTTTCATATTTTTAAATTATCTTTCACTTAAAATAATTAATATACTTTTAAATTTTTTGCTTTAAAAATTAAGGTTATACATGTTTCAATGAAGCTGCCTTGGGTCTTTTTTTTGGGGGGGGGTCAGTTTAAGCTATCCCATACATTCATTAGGACCCCAAAGAATGCGTTGACCCACTTGACAGACATTCACAATTTTTGGCATTAACCCAAAGAGTCCTCAGTCCTCCAACAGGTGAAGGATTGAGGAGTGTTAGGGTTAAAACTAATAAGTCTGGAAAGCCCCATGTCACATGAAATAAGGGATTGACTTCCACTGCAGTAGAGGCGTGTACATGTAGTGGCCACAGTTGGAACTGATTGTAATTGATATCTGCATCTGTAATTGATATCCGCAAGACGCCAGGCTTAGAAATTATTGCCCATCATGATGTCCTTTTGGTATCTGAAGAAAGCCATTGGCTAGAAATTTCAGAACAGCTTTAAACACCACCAGAAGTACATGTACATGTATAAGCATTGGAAAATGGTCAACTGAAAAGATGGTCGGTCAGGATTATTTTGAATAGTCACTTTTGGTTTTTTGACTTTTCATTGTTTCTAATTTTAGGGAGTTGGTTTGTTTATTAATGACAATAGTTTCCACTGGCCACTATCATAAACTTAACACTGTATGCTATACACCAAACAATGTCTTGGTCAACATGAAACAAAGTGCGTAGATCCCAGGGTGAAAGGGGGACACTCAAGTTTTGACAAAGGGTATTGGGTGGGCCTTAAATCCAGAACCAACCCCCATTCAATATCAAAAACACCCTCCCAATTGCAATTCTTGCAATTGACTTTGCCCATTTCACCATCTCCCCCAACAAAACAACCCTTAAACTAAACACAAAGGGGAAAATAAGACTTTTGTGTACACATGCAGAACAGGCCCATGTCCTGATAGCATTGCACTGTTAACGAGCCCTTTCTCATAGAAGCCAGATGGCGACAGTGGATTGGGAAAGTTTCCATGTAAATGAACAATGACATCTTCAGTATATGGACCTATTCTGGGTGACAAATAAATGATGCTCAGTTATAATAGTAAAGAACTTCCGGAGCACTTAAAATATTTAAAGAAAAGCGATTATTTTTACGCTTCATACTTCTCAACAAAATTACAATAAATTTAGATATTTAAAAATATATTAAATAATATATTATAAACAAGGCAACCTGAATAAAAAAGGGCAATAGATGACACCAAAATGTAAATATTATCAAAGATCTGGAGAGTACCTTCACTGGAACAAATTCTTGCTCAGTGTCAACATTTTGGTACTTTATCTTATACCACTGAGTGAGATGTTGGAGTAAAAACAATTATACTCATTACTGAATAAAAATTAAAATGAAACACCCGTAATTTCTTTTATTGAGGGTGTAGACGCTTTTTAAGTCAGATTCTTCAGAACAAACAGTACACTGTGAATGCTCTTTAAGTTGGGGATGCTTTTAGCAAAAAACAAACTGCAGCATGGACTGGAAGGCAAAATATATGTAGTGCTAAAGCAGTTTGCTTTATCGTATGCATTCTTGTCAAAGTTTCTCAAACCTTGATAAAAGAGCACATTGGTTGAGCACCATTCACACATTGTATGTTAGGCTTTGTAACTTTCAAATGTGCAACTCGTTTACATAACGTGCTCTAACTTTGGTTATTAGTGAGCCACACCGCACCCTCAACCTTGCATGCGCAGCATGCACAGACCTTCTAATCACTGACGGCTCAGCTCCAGTTCAAGAATGTGCCCCCAAGTCTCCACGTCCATGGGGCACATGAAGGGAGGCAAGTTCTTGTCGTACATGTTCAGGTTGCTGAAAGCCCTCTGAACCACTTATGCTTGATGGAGTGGGGTCCGCAAGTCCGTATGAAAGACTCCTGAACAGAAACATAAAACAGGACAATATGAAGCTGAAAAAAAAAATGGAAAAAATTTACAGACGGGAAGTCGAGAAAATTTGGAGAACATCTTTCCAACAGTAGCAACAGAATTCTTCTATCCTACAGACCAAAAAATATTCATTTTGCTGAAGACTTTGAAAATTAAAAATATTGCCATTATACTCTACTTCTGAAAACCGTGTTGGGGTCCCATTCTTATCTCTACATTATACTCAACTGGACTGGGGCTTAAGAGATCTGATCCTTGATAGTATAAAATGAAATCAAAACACGCAGTCCAGAATACTAATTCTACTGTTACAATTTCAGCATTCTCCATTCACATCAAAACAGCAGAACTGTTCACTGTGATGTTGTGACCCAGTTTGGAACTGTAATTAACACTCTGTCCGCTGAGCACTGAAAAAATCTTGAAGGTCCAAAATTTGTTTTTCTCGGTAGTCAGAAATTTGGATGACTTTGAGAAAAATGCTTGTGTCACAGCTACTTCCTATAAAAGTCTAGTTCTGATAACTTTGACCAGAAATTATTCCAGAGCTTTACAAACTAGAATCACAGAACTAAGTACATCCAGGGTGAGATTGACTAATGATAAAAGTAGCTGAAAACAGCTGAAAAAAGGCATAAAGAAGCTGAACTGTGAAAATCTACTATACACATGTACTTTTGTACACAGCCAGTGACGAAAAAAAGCTGAAATCCGAAACAAAAAAAAGCTGAAATCAGCTACAAAGCTGAGAAATCTCACCCCTGATACATGTATGTGAAATGTGACTTTTTCACCCACCTTCCATGAATACCCGAGTCCTACATCCCTCTGTATCTCTTTCAAGGTACAATCGTCGCACTTCAGATGGCAAAACTTTCTCCACAGCCAGTCTGTGTCCTCGATGGTGGAGTTCCACAACTTGCAAGTTTGCCAGGCACTCTGCAAGCTCTTGGCGTCCAGCCTTAGCAGTATGCCCAGATACAGCTCAGGGGGTAGCCGCTGCATCAGATCAAGTGGCAGGTTGGCTATTGATGGCAGTTTAGCTCCTTGCAAGTGGTGGTGATGGCAAGTTGGAATGGACCTCTTGGGATGCAGCGGAGCACTCATGGCTTACATGTATGTTGTGTAATTTGCTTTGTACTTCTCAGATTCAGATGTGTTCATGTGATATCTACACATCTATCTTCAAGGAAGCTCTAATGTGAAGGATTTGAATTTTCACTCCCTGTACACGAAGGCCTCACACGATGTAGGGTTTTCTGTTTTCCAGGAAAAAGACATGTGATAAATAAAATTGAGAACAGTAAGTAAATTTTATGTACTTTGTCACTCAGGTTTTTTCAGCAATTATGAGAATGTGAGTTATTTGCATTTCTCTCAAGTATCAGCAGAAGTCATCAATGCAAAGAAATTAAATTTTCAGAGATGATAATTAGGTAATGCTGATTTGAAACATGGTAAAGATTTTTTTAAAAGGGTAAAACTAAATAATTTTGGTGACCATAGGCACAGGCATCCAACAGTTAAGGAAGGACTTTACTTTAATATTTGCTATCTGGAACGACGGATTTGTTTGCCATCATTTCACATGGCCTCATCCATGCAATAATACCTTTTGGAAAGTGTTTTTGTCAAGTACTTTTCAAGTAACAAGTTCTCTGCCAAATCTTGAACTAGTTAGGAGGGAACAAAGCTCAAGTACATGGGCATTTGTTGGTATGCACAAAGGTAAGATTACAAAGTAAAATGACGACTTCAGCAGCAGTGTCTCCAGCGGGGAGGGGGGCAACTTGTCCCCCCAAGGAAATTTTTTTTTTTGCAAAGAATACGTCATAGGTAAGAAAGTAATCAGTGCTATATTAGCACCAAACCCTATGAAAACAACACCATGAAATAAAAACAACGGTGTCATGACCATGAGTAAGGCTTTTGATGTTTTTCTCCTCCAACATCATCTTCAATGAGCTTGAAGCCTAATTCACTTTTGAGTTTGCCCCCCCCCACACCAGAAGCTGGATATGTTGCTGGACTTCAGACTATTCACTGTTTAATAAAACTTAAATTAGCTATTTCATGTTGGAGAGACATGAGACTGGGTATATGTATATAAAAACCTGCTTACAAAAACATCTGGATGCGTAGTCCCAAAAGAAATGTATCTAATGTGGACCTCAATATCTGAAGTTATAAATGCAACAATATTGTTAACATAAACACAATCACCACATTTTTATGAGTACTAAACATGATGGTAACGGTTGTAAACGAGACACCAAAATGTGACATGGCAATAATGACGGATTAAAAAGTCTCTAATAACTATTACTTGTATAAATGTTGTTTAATTTTTTTCCGTTGTGTTTGATGTTGTTATGCCTTCTGAATGCTTGTACGTATGTTCAGTTGAATAACTGACAGATCATGTATTTTGTAAAGTCATAGGTTATGGTGGTAACGTTTGTAACATGTGGTGTCCTGAGCGGTTACGAGTGTGCACGCTAATGCTGATCTCTCACTGGCAAAAGTTTTAGTTTGCCCAGTTGTCCCAATCAATTAAAAATAACCCATCTGTAAATTTAGAATGCCCAAGGAATCTGCACCTGTTACCACTAATTAAATTTACAGAATTTTCTCACCGTGATTGCAATCGCGTCCTGTTTGTAACGCATTACGAGCGTGCGTTGTGTACTGCGTCAATCCTATACTTTTTGGTGTATGTTCCAGTAAATCCACATAAACACAGCCTCGTACATAGTATGTACATGTATGGGCAACATGCACATGAAACATTTCCTACAACAGGGAACAAGGATGGGGTCATGACCTTTGTCATGTCTGAATTCACACATTGGTACAGTTGTTACGAGTGGGACTGTTGAACTTTTCCGGGTCTGCAATCCAAGGAAATCTGAGTCAATCCACTGCCATCACACGATATTTCATTAGAAGCCCAGTGTAAGAACTTACAGGAACCATGTTACCATTCTGCTCTGTTTATTTGGCAAACTACATGTATGTGCTTAAACCAATTTTGAACGGTAACATATGACGACGTACGAAAGTCACTCGGCGTCCTGTTATTACAAAAAAACATTTTTCTCATCTAAATGTCACACATTTGTAACCAGTATGTACGTATACATACACTCCAGCTTTATTTCCTCTTTCTCTGTTCAATACCCTGCATGCAGAGAACCTTGGTACTGGAAAAGTACTTGACTGCAATGCTGCTTTTAGACTTTGATGGTTGTAAACAAATTGCATTGAAATGATTGAATGTGAATTTATTACAATACATAAAGGACTAGCCCCACTAGTGTGGCACGGACTCTCACTCCCGATTTATCCTTAAGGATAAATCGGGAGTGAGAGTCCGTGCCACACTAGTGGGGCTAATACAGGACATACAAAAGTGAAAAGTCAAAGTACATGTGTACAACTACAAAGCACAAACCAAGCACATTATTTGGTCAGGCAAAAATTCTAAGAAATTACACCGCAACGACAATGAAACGAATACAATACAGAACATGTTAGGATTTTTCAAAATGCTAACAAGTCTAAAATGTCGGATTCATTGATATTTTTAGTGTTAAAGTGTATTCACAAAATGGACATAAATGGTGGTAAACACATGGAGAGCAATGAATCACGTTGAAATCCCCCACACCATACTCACTGCTCAGGCACGGCCGGTACCACTGTCACAAAGTCCAGACGAGATTGTGAGACTCTTGACAAAACCCCCGAACAAATAAAACGGCAAGAAAGAACCACGTCAAACGAAATGCGTGGTTATGTTCGTTCCCTCACCTCTAGGGGATTCAAACATAGCAGTTTATTGAAACCTTTCGACTGTCGTTAAGTTGTACAGATTACTGCCGAATATTTTAATAGTTACAATACACCAGCACGCGTACCAACCGCAAAACTGTACACAAACAACAGCTAACACACCGGGGAGATTTAAATGACGCTTTGCCACTATTTACATATTTTTTAAATATTAAGTAACACGTAGTTCATGTTTACAATTAAACTGACTTTGCCGGGAAGTCAGAATCTAAAGTCTTGAAAATTAAATGTGGATACGACAAACATTTAAAAGAATAGATTTAATCGTGAAAAAAATCGCACAAAACCATAAAAAAGTTTTGCGGTTTTTATAATGAACTATATGTTTGTAAAATCGAAATTATCAACTAAAAGTTCATTCACCATCATTATTGCACGCTCCTCCTTGAAGTGGCAGAGGGCGCTAGTTTCAATAAAAATGGAAACCTTTCGTGAGAGGTTTCTGGGTTTCCTAAAGTGAAAGTCTCTGGGTTTCCAGCTCCTCTATACTGTATCCGTATGAGTCAACCATTTGGCTAAACCCGCACCTAAAACCCAACAACCATCATGTATTCCTGGTGGGCTTCTATGCAAGCAGAAATTGAGACTGATGGGAGCAATCGTAGCGTTCTTCAAAGCTTCCCCGACGGTGTGGGGAGGGAAGTGGTTCTTTCCGTGGTTCGGCAACTTGCAAATCACCTGAGCTCGACAGCAACGAGTAGTCGTGTTGGCAGTCAGCATCTACGGAGTCCACTTGACACTGAGAAGGAAGTGCTGTGGACTATGGAGGTTATTTGCTTTGATTGCTCAAATTAAATTGAAAATGATGAAACCTTACACGCTCTTTTTAAACGTGTTCATCATAAATATGACTTTACACACTGGCTGCACCCTGTAATTTAGTTGAACACATGTTAGATAATTGACATGCCTTAACTTTATTAATTTATCATGTTTATAGTTTACTTTCAAAGGAAAGAGTTCCATATACCATGGAGGAAGGAACCTTCCTCCATGCATATACAGATGCCACTTGACACCCTGTGCACAAACCCTATGGGATTGGTCTGAAAAATTCTACGTATGTTCTAAGTAAACGAGTTGGTATTTTCCTTCCTAAATTGTATTTTTCTGGACGTGATGTTTTGCTTTCTGATGGCTAATGGCAAGAATGGGTCACTGTAGGGAAATAATTACTGGTGTTGGTATATGGAACTCTTTCCCTTCCAAAGAAGGGTTCTAGACCCCGTTCTCTTGGAGAGGTCCCCAAAACGACATAAAAAAGAAAAATGTGTGGCCAAAACCTTGTAGTCAGTTAGTCTGACATGAAAATAAGAAACATAATGAATAGCTATATGTAAGACCCAACAGCTTGATTATGACGTGAGATCAAGGTGAGATGCAACTGGAAACTGACTGTGTCATGCATGGGCTATTTGGCTGAAAACAAAGCCTGAAAGTTGATCCCCCCATGGCGTGCTTCCGGAACACTTGGATAGGAAAAATAACGTGCAAAAATGTTAGAATTTATAATATTTTTCATTCAGTTTAAAAATCCAACTCGGAAAAAGGGCTTTAGAAAATATTTGCTAGTATATCAATTTCTTGACACAGAACAATTGCCTAACCTAGTAAAAGAGAAATATCCTGCGAAAAATTGACCCATCACTTCCAGAAATCTAAAATACATGAAGAACAGTGTAATGCGGCAGTCTCATACTCAGATGAACGTTTACAGTTTGATATTTTATGGTAGTCTGTCGGTGAAAGGCAAAATAAAAACAGATCAAAATATTTTGCTGACTTTTTCAATTTATAAAGTAATAAACTTAAAGAAAGACTGTCACATTTTATGTAACTTTTGCTGATAAGAACTGCATCATGTCAACTCTACCGAATCTGGAACCCATTGACTGCTGGTAGGTAAATCTTGCAATGTTGTACGATCTCGTTTTCACGTAAGCACGGGCAGTGAAAACAAATGTACATGAACAAGGAGACCTACATGTAGGTAGAATACCCCTGGAAGTGAAAGGTAGTTAATAAAATTCCTTTTTACCCATCTCCAGGTGATGTTTCTTAAATATTACTTGAGGAAAACAAGGTAAAATTCCAACATGAGTGTTTCATGGGGTGGTTTCAGTTAGGAATCATTCTTCCAAAAATAACCGAATGTGATAGGACAGTTCCATGTAAAATCCCCTTAGGTGGACCGCGTAAGGGTTCCAGAAGCTCGCTGCATGACCTTTTACTTTCAGGCTCTCTTCTAAGCTTGGAAAATTGAAACATTATCGTAGAGCAAACCGGGCAGTGAGTTGCCTGTTCACCAGTACTGGTCACATCTTTTTCTCAAATCTGGTCCTAATCTATTTTGTGATATTTTGACATGAAAAAAAACAGATGAAATTCAACAAGGATCAAATTCCCTATATGCTCAGTCATATAGTACATTTTCATGTACATGTACTAACCACTAAATCTTATTTTTTGGTAGGTGATCTGTTATGGTTTGACGCTACCTTTAACTGAGCAAGAAGCCGTCAAAAGTTGTGTAAATGTCTACTGCGAGTGGCTGAGTGCTCTTACCATTCCCAAACACTCCATACCCACGCCACTGCTCAAAGACCCCAACTTCTTTGTCCAGAGAATCCTGAGGCATCTCATCAATTTATTCCAGCCAAGGGTACAGCCAAGAATGCAAGGTGAGGTTGGGTTGGATGCCAGTGCTGTTATCAAGACCATGCACAATACCAGTCACTAAGCTAGCCACAAGCCCAGACAAAAGACCAGACACAAGACCGTACACAAGACCACTCACTAAGCCAGCCACAAGACCAGACATAAGACCATGCACAAGACCAGTCACTAATCTAGCCATAAGACCAGTCAAAAGACCAGACACAAGACCATGCACAAGACCAGTCACTAATCCAGCCATAAGACCAGACAAAAGACCAGACACAAGACCAGACACGACCACACACAAGACCACACATAAGACCACACATAAGACCAGTCACAAAGCCAGACACAAGACCAGACATAAGACCAGTCACAGGACCAGACATAAGACCAGCCACAAGGCAGACACAAGGCCAGTCATAAGACCAGCCACAAGAGCAGTTACAAGTTCAGACACGAGACCAGTCACAAAGCCAATTACAAGACCAGACACAAGTAACAGGTTGAACAGTTACAAGGGAATGCTTCTGTGAGTCTTTTAACGGTCTTAAGGGTTTTGACACTCAACTTATTGTATTGTGTTGATAGCTGTTTTAAATATCCAAGTTAAATCAAATTTAAACTACAAAGTAAAAAGCAACTATAATCCGGTTAACCTTTTTGCAAAGCGGTGTTATAAGCAACTTTTCCAAAATTTCTTAAAAAGCCCAGTGGGCGAGACACAAACGAAACATGGCAGATATCCCCTTATCATTAGCGTAAAAAGCTAAGGTAAAAAAAACAGACAAGTGCATATTTAAGCTTAAGTGGCTGTTTTTTTTTTTTTTTTTACATGAACAGGCCAAAGAATGTGTGTTTCTGAGCCTGTTTATAATTGTTTGAAGTAAACGATCTTCAAACAGCTGGTGTAGGAAAAAAAGCATAAGAAATTGTTGGAAAGAGTTCAAAACAAGACTCCCTAGGACATTGTTAATTAGTCATTACTCCAACTCAAGGCTGATTTGTATCTCCAATTCAGGAATGAATATGCATGAGACGACGACCCAGGTCATGCTGTGTCACCGCGTCTTGCGCTCTGTGCAGACTGTCGCTACTGAGAGCATTGTCATGACGAGACAGACGTGGGAGTCCCTCTTGAAGTTTCTATTAGCCGTTAATGACACTATATTGGCTCCACCCCTTGAACCAGGTGTGCCCATTTTGCCTATATCCTCACAGTACACTGTATGTCAACGAGAATCCTGCTGAATGCAACAACATGCAATGGTTTAAGCAGCATACTTATAAATATGACTAGATTTAACTGGCCAGGGTGGGATTTCTCAGATATCAGGATTAGTGACCCCCAAATTGTTTAATATTTTCAAGATTGACTCATTCGGATTTTGAAATTTTTTTTGCACCTTGTACTAAAACCTACTGCATCAGTCAGATAATTGTTTGTTTTCAAGGGAAATGAAGCCTTGTTAGCCATTAACTTCCTTGGAAAGTCAGTTCTTTATTGTGGTAGATTTTTTTTAGATTCCTTTTCACCAGTCTTGCCTCTGAATAGGTCAGCAAGCCCATGGTGGAACAGCACGCAGTCGTGCCATCGTCTGAAAGGAATGGCTCTGTTGCACTTTGTTACATTCAGCTGGGCTATGAGTTAGCCTTTTCTAGTGTGACATTTCACGTGTGCTCCATCCTTAACCTCTGCATTCTCCCCTTTGATGCCCCCCTGTTTGCTGACCCTGCATTCACTTTTAGTGAAGCACATGCTTGTAGGTCCTCATTTACACTAAACGTTCATCCACTTGGTTCTTTGAGTCTTTTGGTGTTGTTCACTTAACCCCTTCGCACCGGGAAGCGGTAAGAGCCGCCGTAAAAATTGAGATCCTCAGCCCGCTTTTCAGCTATTATTCTCGGCCCACGCTCGAGTGAACACGATGAAAGAAGGCAGACCCTGGCTCTTGTATATATGGTGATTGGCCTTTGTGTGTTGCCAAGAAATGAAAAGGCCGAATTTACATCACAATCACCAGCTTCACAATAGTCCCCACTTTGAACAGAGGCAACGGGAATGTGGAAGCTTGAGTAGAGCCGCATGCCACTGAACAATCAGCCTTTTCACCGTGTAATTCAAAGCGTGCAGAGCACACAGGGCCACAAACCAAGAATTTGCTGTTTGGCAGGTGGCCTTTGTGGCCAAGCAAGGCTGGAATTCTCGGAGTTGGCTTTCAGAAAAAAGTCCCAGCGTCAAGGGGTTAACACATCGGTGACCTTTCAGATCCTTTGTACTTAAAGTCCTCTAGTCAACCCTTTGATTCCGGGCTTTTAGATCTGAAGGTGTGTAGCACAACCTTGGATATCTTGGCTACAGGATCTGAAAGTGCATGATACAACCTGGGATTCTATTTTCAAAAAGTATAGATGGTTCGATAGACACGGCGCGTCAGTTTAGAAGCTTTTTGATTTTCTTCTTAATGATCTTTACTAGAAAAGAACATCATACATGTACTATTACTCCTTGGTTCATGTGATTCTGTGCTTGGGTGTTTGTAGCACTAGGTGTCAACTCTAACTTCCGTGGTGTTTTAGCTAATAAGCTTCCTAAATCCTTTGAATTACAACAATGAACAATGAACATTACAATGAACATTCTTCATGTTACCGCTAGATTGGAGCCCATTAAAAGTGAACTAGCCATGCATCAGTCATTACTTGCACTTTGTTGTGCCTGTCCAACTGATTTATGTGCACAGTATGGTAATTGTTGATGGTTCTGTATGGCCTTTGCACAAGAGTCTCTTGCAGACGCACCCACATTGTGAATGGCTTGGAGTGTGCACAATAAGTTTCCAGCAGAATGAGCAAATCCCTCAGTACCTTTGCACGAGGATTTGTATCTGAACATAGGCACCAGCACTATTTTTCAATTTTCACAGGTGTTGTCAAGTGGCTCTTGTGAGTAGGTTTTGGCACCGTCAACATTTCTTGCATGGAGCTTGTAGAACACAGATCATAGTTATAGTTGGTGTTTCATTGGCATTCTAACACTAATTCATTCTCTCTCACACACCTCCTCCTGCCTTATTGCACTTCTGCCACCATATCCCACCTCTGCCACCATCACCAACTCCTGCTTCTACTGACTACCACTACAACCAATGCCAACCACTGTGATCACTTAGGAGCGCTGTCTATGGTGCCTGTTCCAGACAGCCTAGCAGAGCAGCTGTGCGAGCGGCTACTCAGCGTCCTCTTTGAGATCTGGCTGCTGGCATGCGGTCGCTGTTTCCCTTCGCCGACACTGTGGCGGACGTTCACAGACATGTGTGCCACATGGCGGCACCACGCCGCGACTGTGGAGCAGTGGAATCGCATCAACAAGGTGCTGACATCCAGACTGCTGAAGATTCTGTATGGACCAGAATTCCCAACTCTGCCCATTGGTAATTTACCTTTACATTGCACTAACTTTGATGGGTGTATTCCGTTCAGCTCAAGTGAACAATTGGAATACTTCATGTTTGAGAATAATTTCTGAATTTCATTCAGTATGCTCAGAAGAATAAAGTACCAGATGGTCTTATTCTCTGTGAATGCTACGTACCTGTCTACCATTTCAAAATTGTGTCTTGATTTACACTTATCTTATTTCTTGCGATAAAGGATACATCCACTGATATCCACATATCCTTTTGCAGATAGATTAAACTCGGTCAGTTACCTGTTTTTTAGTAATGTGTTTTTCAGTTGTAAACATTGACCCATTAGGGCCACATGCCGATTTTGTGTTCAGGTTTATGTGTACGTTTATGGCATGCTGCGTGCTCAACCAATAAATTTCCATTGGAATTTACTGTCTTGTGGATGAGTGTCGGATGCCCAGTCGGAAAGGTCAGCTACCAACCTCTTTCCTTTGAAGGTGCTCAGGGGTACAATAATTGAAATTTGAGCTGGAATGTTGAACGGTATTGTTTAATAAAATATCAGTCTTGCTTAGCCCTGGATTGTACATGTCTGGTAATCGTGTCTTTTTTTGAGGAGGGGGAGTAGTATTTGTTTTCTGTGTAATGAACCAAAACAGTCCTATGGTAGCCTTGTAAAACTTGTGTAATCCAGAAATTTTGTCATCTACTGGGACAAAGGTCCAGTGACCTATTTGACAAGATATTAACCCTGGGAGGTTGGGCATGGAGCAGATAAGCAGTGGTTGTAGAACTACGTAGCTTTTTGGCAAGTCCATGATATCATACATGGCATGACCCATCGGTAATAGAAGTTATAATGGATTTTGGGATTGTTCATTCTACTGCTGGACATCTGGATGGGGAATACCCACAAGGAGTTTTAGTTTCTGTGATGATTTTTGCAATTAAAGAAAACATGGTATTCCATACGAGATGAAAAGGGAACCAGTTTGTTGACTCACCAAATGTCCTTAAGCTGTAGAATGACTACATTGTTGTATTTCCATTTCCCTCATATTGTGTATTTTCCATAGAAGTTGTAAAATATTATTTCTGTCTTCCGTCAGTATTTACCATGTATATCTTCATGATAGTTGAATTTTTCCTGTATAATATTTTCAAAAAAGTACTCATAAATGATCTAACATGAACCTTTTCCCCCACCAGCCGATGAAGAGGCTCACATCATCCCAACCGAGTTGGACAATGACGGCGTAGCCCAGACTTGGTTCCGTTTCCTTCACTTGCTGGGTAACCCTGTCAACCTCTGCAGGCCAAAGGTCATCAGCCACACCCCAAAGTTCCTGGCGGCGGCCGTGTCATACCAACCCTCCCTGGAGCCCCATCAGTTCACCTGCCTACAGGCGCTGCCTCAGATCTTCCTGAAGGCCATGAGAGGGGTGTCGGTCATCATCGATGCATTCTTGGGTAATCTTGATTGTCTCTTGGCCTTTCACTCCAAGTTCTCCTGTTTTAAAACAACATTGTTTTACAAATGTTTCTGTTGTTTCACAATGACGATTCTTGCTTGGCACCCTCCTTCCTTTTGCCCACGTAGCCTCGCAGTCCACTCAGATTTCCTTGTCTCCCAACAAGTTTGAAAAGACGCTCCTAAGCTTAAAATCTGGTGGCAACGTTAAAGTTTTTGGTGCCACATTTACATTTCTGGAATATTTAGTCCCACGCAACACATTCTTTATGAGAAAAGTTGTCTACGAATGTTTGAACTTGCTTCAAGTTTTGGCAAAATAATCCACCATTACAAAGGTGCCCTCAAATGCACTTGACCTTAACTTACATGAAAAGGAAGAGGGGCAGATCTTTAAGTAGGCCCTGAGCCTTTTGCTTAACTCCCCAACATATTTTTTTTTTCAGTCTCCTCCAATTTTAAAGTTATACTTTGGAGAACATTCAGTGCTCCTTGTTTATTTTATTTCAAATGCATTGCTATCCATAAACAAAACCATCAGATTCAGTGTCAGAAGTCAGAAGCAAATTTTCAGATGTAACTTGCATAGAGATGGTCCATTCTGTGTGTTTTTTGTCATTTGTATGTATTTATTTCACCTGTGTATTGTAGGTATATTGACCCCACAGAGTGCTGACCCACATTCCACCCGCATATCCACCCTCCCGATCGATGAAACCCCACCCCTGGGCCGTAAAATCAGCCGCAAGGAGCAGGTCTCGGCCAAGCAGATCAAGGAGAAAGTGATGTCCTCCCATGCCCCGCCTCTGTCCTCGCAAGCCTCCAGCGTGACCATGGCGTCCTTCTGCGTGGAGGACGCCACGGACGGGCGGGGCACACCCACGCCCCGCCGCTCCCAGTGCAACAGCATCCTGCACCTGTTTGGGGCGTGGCTGTTTGAGGCCGCGCTGACCGGCTGTAAGTCTCGCAAAATTGCCTCGCCTCCACGGCGGAGGTCTTTAGCTGTTGATGCCCGCACTAACATCACTAACTTTGCTTTCGGTATGTGCATTCATCATTTCATCTCATTTTGTTTCATTCATTTGTGTTTGTTATTGCACCATTTTTTATATTATTTACAATTTGAAACTTTTTATGGATGACAAACCAGTTTAAGTTTAAGTTTAGTGTAATTCAAATTTGATTTATTGATTTCAAAAGTGATCTCATGTGTTGACACTTTTTCTCAAGGATTGCACAGCAGTTCACTTTTACATTTTCCCTTGCATTTTTAATTTTTTTGAGTGGTTATATTGAGTTTTTGAGTGATTTATTTTACTTGATCATTTAAAAGTGAAAGTTTTACTAGCATAGTTGATTCTTGGACTAATTCGTGCCTGTCATTTAATGCATTGATGAAAACTTAATGTTTGTTCAAATCAAGTTGTATTAATTTTTATGTTTTCTTTCTTTTTAGTTACAATTTTGTCTTTGAAAGGTCAGATATTGAATTTGAAGACATCCAAAAAGCACTCCACATGAAAACTTTGACTAACCCAATTAGCTGGATGAGTATAAAAGAATTTGAAAAAAAAAGCCACCATGCATGCCACAGTGATGCACCTGTCGTCCGAGTTTTCAGTTCATGTTTGATGGAGTGTCTCTGCTCTGCGCTCTGACACACAATTTTGCAGGATGTTAAAAACATGCAAACAATACAATGGATACAACCTCCAGGCATGAAATCATTTTCTGTTTCTGATGTAATCCCGAGAGAGAATTTTAATTGAAAATCAGTTTTCTTACTTGCAGTTTTTGAAAACAAATTAGAACTACTTTTGAGCCTTTTGAATGCATGGCAGAATTTTTTTGGGATAGTTTTGGTGCATGTTTCATTTGAAAATTTCAATCAGGGTGTCTTAAATTGGAGTTCACTGCATGCTGCATGTCAAACAAACCAACAAACTGACGAATGATTGGCCAAATCTCTGACTTAGTTAACTTTGAATGATCACCCTTGCAAGAACAGAAAGCAACCCTCCCCGATAACACATTACCATAGACAGGTTAACTCAAAGAAGCTCTTTGAAAGGAAAAAGGATTATTCCATATCATTTTTTTGAATTGATGAGCTTGTTGCAAAATCGTGCATGCCACACTCTGTGGTCATTGTTTTTTTCTCAACACCAACCTCTTGGCTAACTTCAAATTAAAAAAAGCTGTTTTTTGAACAAAGTTGCCATGTAAATTTCATAACACTTTGACGTCAATTCACGGGGCTTTCCATTTATTGTTTTCCAGAAGCTGGCATCAATGTATTACCCTTCTGAAAAGAAAGACAGAAAACTTCAAAGGGGTTGTCCTTATTTTAGAATTTATCAAAGCAGTTTGTCATCAGTTTGTTTCTTCTGTCCTTGCAAGAGTTGGAATCCCTGGGGTTTGCTCAGCATTAAACCCTCAGTACAGTCAGCCATCATTTTTGAATTGCACATTTGCTATCCAAACTTTTATATACACTTTGACATACATGTTACATGGCACGCTAATAATTTCACTGTTTAGGGGCCGATTTCCTTAAAAACTTCCCGTTATGATCGGTCTTAAAGTAATTTATTTTGGATGAATCGGGTTTGATCAGCAGACCAGTTCAAGGTACAGAGGTAGTTGTCTTCAGCATTCAGAATGATGGTGATGTATAATTGTGAGAATAGCTGCGTTCAAACTGCTTGGATGTGGCTGGCTTGTGTATTTTCCTGTCTAAGCCGTATTGAAGTGGCTAAGTTCATTTCCCATCTAGGCTTGTGTACTGACACCAGCCATAGCTACATTATTTGGACGCAGTGTGGCTCAAGGCTCTCTGAGTCAGTACCCCATTGTCATCAACATGTTGCCACATGAGTTTTGCAGTTTTTGTCCGTCACTGAAGCAGGGTTGAATCAGCTTAAAAATGTTAAGATCTTAATAAATTCATTGGAGGCCAAGTTATGTTAGTGTGATACCACGAACATAGACCAATAAATGGCAAATCTGAAGTCAATTTTGTGAGTTCACCCCAGTACCAAAGTCACTAAAATGATGAAAAAGAAAAAAAGTAAGTGCCATCATTTTCTTTAAAAAATTTTGTATTCGCCTGTGCTTGATTTTTGAGGAGAAAAGTGATGGCATTCACACGAAATTGTACATTTGCAAAAGAATGATGCTCATTTCATGACGTTCTCAATATACATAAATCAATGTCATGTTTTGAACAATGTACAAATTTGCTTTTATCTTGAATGGACGTACACATTAACAACATGTAACAGTGAACTTGCTCTGAAACAAGAGCAACAGTTTTCTAAAAAAATATATTATAAAACTACAGATTTGGCAAAAATAAGTACTCTGTTTTGGCTGATGTTTAAAATTGTGACAGATGTACCGATGACTGGAGCTTTGGACATTTCAAAACAAGGAATTAAGCCTAAAAGAAAATAAAAAACAAACAAAAACAATTGTCCGAGTAATCAGGTTTTGATAATAGGAAGGAACCTGTAAGGAAGATATGCTGAATTTGCTGAACTCTAGTAGTATCTGGGAGGTTTGGGGGAATTGGGCCCAGTAGTGTGTTTTCACACATTTGTCAATGTGCAGCTGATTCGACACAGCTTCATTTGGGATATTTATCACATGTTGTCTTGTCCTACACAGGCACAGTGCATTGTGTGTCACCCACGCCACTATGCCAGTATTCGTTTCCCCCAAATCAACCCCAGTCATTCTAACAAGTGCCTTATTATAGTCGGGCTGTCTCATAACCAGCCTTGCTGTTGTCATTCACAGCACATTCAGTCATTGCCAAGATTAGTGACACAAATCTGTATCATGCATTTTGATGCCACCGTGCAAGCCTCGTTACCACTTGCACAAAACCCTCTCTTGTGTGTACGTATTACACTGTCCCCTTACATTCGCCGTTGTAATGGTACTCAGTGATGACACCTTGTACAATTACATGTATGTAGTTCTTTGAGTAGTCAAGACCATCCTGAAGAGAATTTGTTATAGGAGCAAGCTGTTCAAATTGCCTAATCACGAAACTTGGGCGGTCATTCACTTTAAATGTACAGTTTACGTCCAGTTAGCATTTATGGTTTGTGTTTCCAGGAATGCAATGTGTTTCAGGTTGGGGCATTTGTTACATGTTGAGGTTCACCACTTTGTACTGGAATCATTTCCATTTATCCATATTGTCAGTTACATTTTGGCCCATGTGCATCAGTCTCATTACATTGTAAACAGAATGTACGAGATCTTGTTTTAAAAAAAGACTTCTTGTGAACAGGCTTGTAAGTCACTGAGACATATGGCAGTAAGTTGTTCTTTATCTTCATGTACATCAGATCCTAATAGTTCCAAGTAGAAAATTGCTTAAAAAGTAGACAAAAGAAGCTGTAGTTGAGGTTGACAAATACTAGGGCCCAATTTCATGGCGCTGCTTACCGCAAGCGAAAATTGCGCTTACCGTACCAGAAAATTCTGTGCCTACAGTGAATGTATTCACAGCTTAGTGAGGAATTTGGGCTTGTGGACATGTATACATCCTGTAACTAAGGATTGTGTGCTTAGGAGGATAGCGCAGAATTTGTCTGCTTGCACGGTCAGCACAGAATGGAGATCATACCGCAGAATTCTGCGGTAAGCAGAGCTATGAAATTGGGTTGATTCCAGCTCAGTCCCGTTAAAATCCAAAAGGCATCAATCTGGGAGGAAAATTACTACTGCTTTAAACATACCTGTAAGACCATTGTACGTTTTTGATACACTTCTCGTGCATGTAGTCTAGACTTAACTAACCCAGGGTAAGGTTTAATTAATCAACAGGTAGATAGGGTTTAGGCTACTTAACCTTGACCTTGACCTTGATACATGGGGTTGAAGTCAACTGA